CATGAGCTGCTCATTCCATGCTTTTTCAGCCCCATTACCCGTAATACCCATCCGGTGGAGGACACACGACGTAAACCTAACCTCTCCTTTTCCAAGTTTTGATTTTCTTGATTGTTTCTCATTTTTTATGTTCCTTCTGCTTCTGAGGGATCATTTCCAGAAGTTTTCTGGGTCCATGCTGATGACCAGGATTTGTACATCTCCCACTTTCTGCCCCTGTTTTGCTCTGTTCTAGTGTAATCATATTTCCATTATTTGATTCAATCTGTGGCCTCACCCCTACCCTTCACAGCCCACATTTCCAGTCTCATGCATGTTCCACTGCACCCCTACTCTTAATTCCTCTAAATTATAACAATACTTTTAAATTTACAAAGGGGAAAACAGTATGCATTATTCTGTAGACAGACAAGGCAGGGGTTCCACATGGCATAAATCCATGTGCAGGACTTTTAAAACCTTGTGTCACCAGTCCCATCAACCAGTGTTTCTGTCTAGGAAATATTATCCAAATATAATTTGAAGAGGAGCTGTCAAGAAAAAAATTCCCTAGAATAAAAATCCTCAGGGAAGCTGCATGTCCAGTGAGGTCCTGGGCTCTTTAAAGGGTGCTAAGAGGGCTTCTCTGAGTAGTCCCACATCAATGGATTCATATGGAAGAGAATCATCCCATAGGCTGTTTAGCAGATTATCAAATGCTTTTGTTTTTCCACAAAGAACTATTCCTGGTTTTCATCATGTGAACTATTTTATATGTAATCTGTTGTATTAATCGAGTCCCAGGAAAGCCAAAGCCCTAAATCAGCCTAACAATCTGATTTCCCTAAAACAAGTGTACATCATCATCCTTTATACAAGATAAGACCTCCATGCCTTGTCTTACTATTTTGGAGTTTTAGTTTTCTGCAACACAGCCATTTATCAGGCACATAAGTATTCTATGCTCCCTGCTCCACTTCTTTCAGGGCTCCAAGGGAACAGCATTGTGTTCCCTTTATTTTTTCCTTTTAAAAAAAATTTACTCCTTTTTCTGGAGGAGTGTTAAGGGGCCTGAAATCCCCCAAAAAGGGAAAAAGGAGAAAGAAAAATAAGGACTTTTCCTGGATTTTTTTTCCAAAGCTTAGTGATCACAAAACCATCTGGTTTTATCAAAAGTAACACAGCCTGAGAATGCTGGGGTTAAGGCCCAGAAGTCCCTGTGGAAGCCTGCTTATCAAAAGGTACAAATATCAGCCTGACACCAAAAGAGGAGAGAGAAAAGGGAAAGAATAACATGGCTTAGGAAAGCCAAATTGTGACACTCCATCAAGAAACCACAGATGTTCAAACCTCTTCCTGTTATTTAAACAAAGCCCCAAACACAAAAACCTCCTAATTCAGAGACTTATTTGGCTTTATTCAAGAACATATGAAGAGAAGAAAGCAAAAAAGGCAGGGAACAGACTTTTTTGGTATTGCCGATGTGTTGAGAATAAAGTGAATCTCCAAGAAAGGGCCAGAAAGCTCTCCATGGTAAAAATTCAGTCTGAAGTTTACTAGATTATTTCTGAAACACTCAGAATTCACTAAAATTCACTGAAAGGGATGGCTGTGGCTGCTGAGTTTGAAATTAAAGATACATCTGGTTGTGATTCATGAGTACGTATGTGCACATCACAGCGTTGTTCTGCTTTGTGCACCGCTTGTCTTCTGGGGTAAATCACAAGGCACACTGCCTTCCTCCCAATTCCCAAGAAAGATGAGGAATGATGAACCATGTTGCTAGTGGTGGAATGAAACCTAAATGATCTCCAGGAAGCTTCATAAGTAGATGGCATCCCAAAGATGTTACTGGAGTAATTGTTGTTCTAGCTATTAGGAATCTTAATGCTCCTAGGGAAAACTCAGATCACATAAACCTTGACTGTATCTTGCATGAATTGCTCAAACATGCTGAGATGGCCTTTCATGCTCAAGTGCTATTTTTCAGGATGATTTTATTCACTTCGTAGCCTTTGGTGTGAAACTACGTGCCACAGAGAATTTTTCCAAACAGCATTATTGTCACTTTGGGTTGACAACTTTGAAGTTTTCCTTTAAAAGGAGGAGGAAAGCATTTCATGTAATGATAAAGGAAATAAAGAAGTCCTGTTTGAGGCTAAGTGCAAATCAGTGACTATGTAGGTTATTAAAAAGCATGCTGTCAATTTCCTGCAAACTTCTAGGAGGAACAACCCTCACATCAGCTTACTTTAAGTTTACTACTCAGCCTTTCTCCTGCGTTAAACTGCAGCTATACTTGAACACACTTCTGTTTAGAACACCAGTTAGAAGCAGCATTCAAGACGACAGGTATTCATACTCATACAGGCCAGTGCAATTCTACACAAGAATTACAGTTATTTCTCCAGGTTTTAACAAGTTTCAGATCCACTCAAACCCGAATCCTCGCTGAAATGTAGCTCAGCTGATGTAGTCATTTCTTCACACTATTGACCTGAATATTGACCTAAACTGATTTACACAAGAAAGTTTTTATCCTTGGGCAAATCTGCATGTTTTGAAATCTGCAACAGACCCTGACAAGCCAGTATGGTTTTGGCCCAGCATTAGTAGAATAAGAAATAAAAATTGCAAATACATGGTCATCAGTTCACAATGACTGTATTTAGTCAGATGTCCCATAGGCATTGCTGGTGAGTTGACTATGAGATCACCAGAGCTTTAGTAACGTTTAAAAGTTTCCTAGGATCTCTGTAGGGCAGCAGTGCTGACAGCCTTAGGCTGAGCACAGCAGTGGCGTTGCTTGCAGTGGGAAAATGCAATGAGATAGGAGTTCACTGGCATGAGAAGTGTTGATATTGCAGATATCATCTGGCCCTGGGTTATCTGGGAAATAAATTACACTGGAGAACTCTTCAACATAGCACTTTCATTTTTCCATAATCTCTCTTTGGGCATTATTAACCTTTATATTTTTTTACAGCAATTAGTTTTCAGTGTCCCATTTCAAACAGCATATTTATAAATACACCAATACTGCAAAATTCTGCTGCCAAAGAAGTGGACATTCTCCTCATCTGCATGACATTCACCTGTTTGCCACGTTAGAATACTGCAAATCTGAAATACATCTGCACTGGAAACAAACACGACGCACGCGTGCAAATGGGCGAGGATACACAACGAGGACAATTTGTCATCCCGTGTCGAGGGAAGCACCACCTGCTGATAGCACCGTGTAGCTATGGCTCTGTTCCCACACTCATTAATACTGATCTCAGAGCCACTGCCTCACCTGGCAGGACCAACAGTGACAGGCAGGCAGAGGCCCACAGCGACTTTTCTTTAGAAGCAGACTGAGACATGGAAGGACAAGCAGCAGCTGACATCATGTACAGTCCAAAGTTAGCCCTGAAAGGAGAATGTGTGTATTTTTAATAACTGGGTACAACTGAGCTAAAGGAGATTGCTCAAATTCAGGAGAAAAATTTTTTTTAGAGCTTTCAGCTCCTGGATTTACAGCTTGGGATAGGTGGGGTGGATGGGTGGGTAGGTGTTTGGTCAAAGAAGATTTGGGGTTTTTTTTCCTGTTTCTGGAGTGGCTGGGAAAATGGGTTTGAAGAGGGACAGCAAACTGAAAGAGCAGCAATGCAAGCCTGCATGACAAAGATTTTCTCTGAACCCCAGCCTTCCTGCAAAGGACACCTTCCCAAAAGCACAAAGAGTGACAGCAGATTTTGTGCTGTGATGTATATGAGAGCAACATGAAGGACAAAGGGGTTTTTAAGTCTACGGTCAAATATATAGTGATCATCTGTCACTGAACAACAATACAACCTGATGTTAATTAGGATATCAATGAAGTAATTAACTCCATTCACACCAAAAGGTGACTGGATATTGTGGTGAACCAAAGTACCTTAATACAAAAGGAGGAGAAAGAGAGATCCATTCATGTCTGTTCCAGATAAATGAATTGCATAAAGCCATCTCTGTATCATTTGGATGTGTTCTTGTAGGTGCATCAGCACTCCCAGTTTTTCATCCTGGACTTGCCAATAGATACTAATCACTACGCACAAGACACATACTTCAGTGTAGCAGTCTCAAATTAGGCCTTAAAGTAACTAATATTTTTTCTTATCTATCACATGATTAGAAGATTCTTAGCATTTTTCTTTGGGGTGATAGCAATATGTAATTACTGCACTTCAGTGAAATCAAAGTGCAGATTTTAAAGTCAGTGTAGTGTACACATCTGACAAAAGTGAAAAGAATGTTACCTCAAGCCAAGCTGTTTGATTTTTCTTTCTCCTAGCTCACTTTGCTACAAGATGCTTCACCAACACCAGATTGTTTTTAACCAGTACATAAAGAGAAACAACCACAAAGCATCAAGAATATTTGGTGGCTCAAAATCTACTCATCCATCTCCACTACCACAATAAACATAACAAAGCAGGCTAATTATACTTAATTCCTCTACCTAAGGCATAATACTTTGGCTGAGCAGACTGGTAATAATTTAACAAGCTGTAATAAAAATCAGAGTATCTATGCATATGCATCTGCTATAAGAGCCCCTACATTAATGAAGACCTAGCACTTTATATTCTCACCACAAAAAGGTCCAAATATATGTGTTCTAAAAGCCCATAATGTAAAGAGGAATGTTTTATGTTCATAAAATCTGAGAAAGATAAGAGGAGAATTGATGAGTGCCATAGTTCATCTAAAGTATTATCTTAGTGAGTTTTCACATATCAATTCTGGCAGAAATAGGATCAAACTTTGCTGTCACTTACAATGGTAAGAAATTGTTTAGGTAATGCCTGATTAGGTTTTAGTGTGCAAAACAAAATTGCCTGGGTATTCTGATGGTTATAACCCACCATAGCACGAATCTAATAAAAAAAGAATGAGTAATACAGCAATAAAACAAGTTTTATCAGGTCATCATTTTGTCACTGAACCAGTAGTTTTTACAAAAACATCAAAACCAAGAACTCAGCACTCACCCTGCAACATTCAGCTGGCTTGCATGGTCACTGAGCTAAAATGAGCTCGAGCAAGTCTGGTCTTAGTGTCACTATTATTTGTTTTGACCTTTTTTTCAATCTTCATCAATGAAATGAAATTCTACTTATGTGAAAGATTTTTTTTGGTTTACTTTGCTTTGGATGAGACTGGTAGCTCTGCATGAAGTACTGCTTCAAACTTTGCTTAAGAGAAATGCTGTAGGTTCTGTTCCCCTCAGTTCAGATTTCCCAAGCAGTTTCAAAAACCACAATAATGAGAGACCTGTTTAAACAGGACACAAAACACACAGAAAATATGAGTTAGAGAAATGCATGTCATTATGTCTGGTCATTACAGATGAGCTCTGTCTCTGCCCTGGAGGGACAGAGATGGGTTAGCAGTCCCTACTGAGGTCTTCTCCCAGCCATGGCTCCCATTTCCCAGTTCTCAATGATATCTGTAACCTGTATTCATGGACAAACAGCCTGGAAAAAGGTAATTCAAAAAGCACAAATTTAAAGAGGCACAAACTGAAAATGGTGATCATTTAAGTTCTCAGTTCTTCATATCTGTGGCATTGGCTTTAGCTTCAGTCCATAAGAGAGACAGGGAGTATTTTGGAAGCACCTGAGCCAAACAGATCCCAAACACAGATGTCTGAGTCTCAGAGTGGCACTCAGTCACAACTTTAGCTCCAGGCCACAACTGTGCTAACAGCTCTGTACTAATGAAGGGAAACTTTCCCAAAGATTAGCACCACACTTCATCTTCTTTAATAAAATATGTTCTGGAATTATTCATCTGGCACATCATAAAATATCTGGTTTCTTTTAATTATTTTTTAAAATCTGATAGCTGACAATGAGTCCATGATTTGCAATTTCTCTCTCAGTTCTGTAATCACCCATACTGTGACTGAACAAATCTGAACTGGAAGAGAAAACCGTGTAAGGAAAACTAAGCAAATCCAAAAAGATACCACCTCTGAGGCAAGAGCAAAGGGAAGAGAACAAGTAAGTGAGTGAGGGAACGGACTTAAGGAATCAGGCCCAGACATCTCAGCACCATTCCAATGCCATTGTTTCTGTGTTCCTTTGTTGTCCCACTTGGGGGTACAGATACATACAGGCAAACAGCAAGTGTTCCTTCTGCACCCAGCCACAGTCACTCCTGGAAAAACACAATTCCAGGGTGCAGAGATGACTTTAACAAACAGCTTTGTTGTTCAGTATTGAACTCATACTATACCTCCTAGAAACAGAAAACAGAAAATAAATTAACAACAAAACCAAGCTTTTGGACATGTCTCTTTAGCTATTATCAGTCTCAGAACTTCGGAACTAGATTTTCTTTAGCAGTCCCCCAGAGGACAGTGCAAGGAACTGTTCTTTCACTTGCTTTTTCTCACCCCTGTTCAATAATGTTCCTCCCACAGTATCAAGAGTTACTACTTTACCCACTGTAACCGAGTAGGACCTGTGAAATATAGCACACTTCTCCTGACCGCCAGTTCACAGCAAGCAGCAGGCTGAGTGTGCCTGAGGGGGCTGGGCAGGCCCAGAGGACAGTGCTGTCCAGGAGAATGGGAGCTGCAGTGCCCAGGGCCTGCAGGCACACTCAGCTCTCACCTCCACAGACAGCCTTGCTCACAACTGCCTGCTCCTGCCTGCCTTCCCTGCCTGCCCCCCGTCCTGCCTTCCCGGCCTGCCTTCCCTGCCTGCCCCCCTCGGCCTGGCTCCCCCGGCCTGCCTCCCCCG